AAAAAAACAGATTATTTTTCTTTTGTTTGCTATGCACAACACAGTGAACTGTAAAACCTGTTCGGTTGATACGTTAAAAAAAAAAAAACTGTGTTATCTTGTTGAATAGAAACACTTGAGAAATACGGAACTTCAGTGAGTTTGATTATTTTGCGGCAAAATGTAAGTGTAAGAAAAAAAATTAGATTTTTTTACTAAACAAATTAAATAGAGCTGTAATAAATTTTTTGTTTAAAAAAATATATTTACTACTAAAGGAATACAGATTTATATTTGAAAGAAAACATCAACTTTTGTTTTTGTTTAAAAATAGTTACAGCAGTAGATTTGCTTATATAATTTTCTCATGTATCATTGATAACATTTAAACCAATGTAGATATTCTGGATAAGTTCGGCAAGCATAGGAAGAAAATTGGAAGAACTAAATGAGTTTTAAAGATAGTGGAGAAACTTTTTTTTTTTGTTTTTTAAATCAACATTTATTTTACTTTATTCTTTTTACATATCAAAATTTTCATTACAGAATTCATTTTACTCATTGACAAAGGATTATTTCTTTACGATCAAATTACAAAAATCTTTATTCATCTGTACAGTAAAGAAAACAAAAGAGCAGTAAATGCATAAAGATTTTTTTTGAAACATCTGAAATATGATTTGTTTTCAATCACCTTGTCTGATCTTTTGGTTTTTTTGCCACCAATTTAGCCTTTTTTTCCCCACCTCCGAAATCTGATAGTAAACGTCAAATTATTTGCTAAATTTATACTCATATTTACTTGATTTTTTTTCTTCATGAGCACAGTATCACACTGTAAACAAATGAACATATATTTTGCAACTATTTTTACAAGAGGTTGGTTCTTTTAAGGATCTTTGTAGTTTCTGTTATTCTCCGCTTGTTAGGCTAAAAAAAAGACAGAATTAATAAGGTGGCAATAAATTTATTGCTATTTGCAAAACTGTCACTATGAGTCATTTGTAAAATTTAAAACAATACTTATCAGAAGTAAAAAAAAAAAGAAATTTTTTTTTTTGGCAAACTTCAATTATTTGTTGACAATGTAAAAGAAGAAAAAACTATAAATCAATAAAACACTATGCAAAAAACAATAAATTTTTTACTTTTTAACTTTTCTTTTTGTGTTGTTTTTTTTTCTTTTGTTACTGCCAAAGCCATTTTATTAACGAACAGTACTCTGTTTTAGGTGTACCTTTCAGTTTGTCAACATTTGCTGTTAGATGCACTAATTCTGTTTCTTGGAACTGTTTATCTGCTGAATACAACAATGGTATTGCTAAGGACAACTCTGATACTGTTACAGTGCTGTAATATTGTGCTAAACTATAGGATACTTATATATGCACCGCAGATCGCTCACAGCCATGTTTTATTTATGGGCAAAATTGCCGATACGCTTGTTGAAGCTGGTCATAGTGTGGTAAATTTTTACTTCTCATCTTTTAGTAAAAATGAAATTCTAACTGAAAGAAAACTAAAAGCTGTAAAAAATT